GTGAGCTCAGGAGAGTGAGTCCCTTTGCCACCAGTCACCAGGCCATGCGTTGGCCACGGCTTCGCATTCCAGCGAGCTCGCGGCTCCGCAGGCCTCTCCTGCCTCGACGGTGCCAGGCTGGGTCTGCGGACGTGCCCTCACCTTGCCGCTCAGGTGTAGCAACTTCTTGGAGTCCTTCATACTACACTCTGTGGCTGCCGGAGCAAAACAAGAAATGGGGCCGTAAAAAAACAGGAATGTATTCTGTGGCAGCTCTGGGGACCAGAGTTCAAAATCAAGGTGTGGACAGGGCCGCTCTCCCTCTGGAGGCTCCGGGGAGGCTCCTTCCCTGCCTCTCCCGGCTCCGGGTGGCCCCCAGTGCTTGGCATCCCTTGGCTCGGAGATGCATCACCCCAGTCTCTGTCTCCATCCTCGTGTCTCCTTCTCTGTGTCTCTTCTCTTCTCGTATGGACACTGTTAAGGGCACGCCCCAAGCCGGTGTGATCTCATCTTGATCCTCAACTAATTACATCCGCAAAGATCCTGCCTCCCGATAAGGTCGCAGTGTGAGGTTCTGGGCGGACATGAATTTTGGAGGCTGCTTTTCCACCCGGCAGCCCCCTCCAGGTCTGGCATCCTTCACCCGCTCATGCGGGCTCCCCTGAACCCCGCCCGCCCCTGCGTTCAACCATCCTCAAGCTCCGGGCGTGTGCGCCATCTGCTCCCTGCCTGGACGCGGGAAGGGACAGCCTGTCCGAGTGGCCCACGTGGGATGAGCCAAGTGAACTGGGCCAGGGCAGCTCTAGAAGAAGATCCGGACTGTCTCTGGCCCCCGGCCACGGCCGTGTCACAGTTGCTGGCCAGCGGCCGTCCTTCCCGCGACCCACCTGCCCACAGGAACAGAATGACCCGAAGTGCCACATGGCAGGAAGGACGGCTTCAGCCAAGGCCATAATCCCAGGATAAACACTGTTCGAAACAGGTCAGCCGACAGAGCAAACTGCCACGGACAGTCCCTGCCCTGCCTCTCCACCTCAGACGAGCAGCCGCCTTGGCGAGCCTCAGTTTCCTCACCTGCAGAATGGCTCCTAATTGCTGCCCGTAGCTCCGGGGAGGACTGAGTGTGAACAGCGTGGGAAAGCACGTTGCAAGCGGAGCATTTCACGTGCATTCACAGAGCAGGTGTACGAGAAATGCAAATTTGATTTTTCTCTACCTGAAATTAATTCGGATACAGTCTTAGTCCCCTGAGTGGCAAAAACAATCAAAAACAAAAACAAAAACAAAAGCCCTGCTAGCAGTTTGATTTGTGAGCATGTTGAGTTTCGGGTGCTAATTAGAGATCTGAGCAGAGATGTTGAACGAGCAGTTGGATATCCGGAGATGGGAATGGGGGAGTCATTAGCTCGGAGGTGGTATTTAAAGCACCATAACTCAATAATTGCAATAACGAGAGGGTGACGTATAAGATGCAAGGAGCGAGTCTCAAAGTGTGGTCTCCAGAGCAGCAGCATCAGCGTCACATGGGAACGGGTCACAAATGCCGGCGTGGGGCCTCCGGGCAGACCTGCTGGTCTGAGGCCGAGCCAGCCAGCCCTCTCTGATGCTTGCTCGAGTCTGAGAACCTGCTTGGCCAGAGGAGCGTTCAGGCGAAGGTCCCATCGGGCATCAGTGGTCCACCAGCAGCCGCCTCTGCTTGTCCCTTGGAGAGCGGCCCCAGACACTCCCCCAGGAGGTCATCAGAGTTGCCAAAGCTGAGTGACAACACAACAAGACAACCGACCAGATTCGGCTCAACCCAGACCCACGTGCACCCCCCACCCCTGCCCCTCCAGGTCCCTACGGGCAGACACCAATCGCCGGTTCACGGCCACCTTGGGTTCGGCCCACGTAGTTTAGCTGTCAGAGCAAGCACAGGCCAGGGGACAGTTTTCTCAATGGCCAGCCCACCCGCGAGGAAAGATGAAAGAGATTCCAAGAAACGAAGCCAAGGTACTGAAAAGATTCTTGTGGGGTTTTCTGTTCCTTTCTGTAGATAAGCCAGATCATTTTGTGACGTTGTGGTTTTCACTGCTAGCCACTTAGGAGCTGATGGATGCATCCTGACACGTCCCCAGATGTTTATGACACCTTCGGGAATGGCAGTGACGATGGCTCTATCACACACGGCAACTTCCTACCCTTGGCGTTGCTCTCAACTATTTATATATTCAGGAGCGGCCAGGTTTCCTCCCACCAGAGCTCAGAAAGGTAGTAAGTGAGAAAAGTCAATGGTCTGTAAATTACAACATTGATTAAAGAAGTGATTACTGACATAACTCGTGCTCGGCTATTATGCCAGTGCCTGCCCGGACCCAGGACAGTGTTTACATGCTAATGACGAGTCTGCACAGCCACCGAAATTGGTTTCCATCCCTAATCAGCATGCAAACATTTTTGAACCACTCTTGACCACAAATGGGAAGACCAATCCGAGCGATACCCTCCCGGCTTCTCCCTGCCACAGTCCCCGGCAGATGGAGGAAATTGTCTCAGCCCAGCCCTCACCAGCTGCCCCCCGAACAGAAGATGAAAACGGGACCCAGACCAGCCGTCCGCAGTTCCCAGAAGCTGGGGAAAGAGACGGTGATCAGATCACGAGAGCTCACTGCACAGCACACGATGTCATTTGGCTGGGTCCACGGAGCCCCAGAAGGGGACTCCGCTGCTTCCCGACTGCACGATCCCGGCAGGGGACAGACACACAGATCAGCTGTTGTAGCTCAGTGTGGCGTGTGCTGCGTGAGGAGGCCCCGAGTGACTTCGTTAACTCTGAAATGTTCCACTAAACTGTACGTAGTGCGTTTCTCCAGCAAGAATTAGCTTTCTGTGTATTCTCAAAGGAGTCAGTAACCCCAGGAAGATTAGGAAACATTACCTAAGGAGCTTTCTAGAAGCTTTTGAACTAACTTCTTGTGTTTCCACTGTTTTGGGCTCTACCTCATCTCAGTCTCTCACCGCATCTCCCACCAGCCCCAAGATCTTTGATGATTGTCTTGAAGCAGGCATTCCCATGAGCAGAAGGCCTTGTTTATCCATCCATCCTTCCTTCTGTCCATCTGTCTGTCCGTCCATCCATCTCTCCACCCATCTGTTCATCCATCCATTCATCTGTCCATCCGTTCATCTGCCCATTCATCCATCTGTTCATCTGTCTATCCACCCATCCATCCATCCATCCACCCATTCATCCATCCACCCATTCATGTGTCCATCCATCCATCCGCCCATCCATCCATCTGTCCATCTGTCTATCCATCCATCCATTCATCCATCCATCTGTCCACCCATTCATCCATGCATCCATTCATCTGTCCATCCATCCATCTGCCCATCTGTCTCTCTACCCACCCATCCATCCATCCACCCATTCATCCATCCATCCATCCATGTGTCCATCCATCCATCCGCCCATCCATCCATCTGTCCATCTGTCTATCCATCCATCCATTCATCCATCCATCTGCCCACCCATTCATCCATCCATCCATTCATCTGTCCATCCATCCATCTGCCCATCTGTCTCTCCACCCATCCATCCATCCATCCACCCATCCAATACCCACTTTGCTGAGCTTCTGCATCATGAGCAGCGAGGGTAAGGAACCTGAGATCAAAGATGAAGAAAACAACCTGGTTCTTCAGGATGGGTCATATTGCTTCTCTGTAACTCAACTTGGTTTCTGTTTTCAGTTTTCAGTTCATTGCGGTGGCAGAAACAGAATCCCAGTCTAATTTCCAGGGGACCTAATTATGGCCAAGGCCCTGGGGGAGGGGGTTTCTGATCTTCTCATCTTCCAGAAGTTCACAGTTCCCAGGGGGACACCCTTTATCAGTCAGTCCGTGGAGATCGCCTCCACGATGGCCTTGTCGTCATCCATGTTGGCCCTGCCTGCCTGCCTGAGAACACAGGCATCTTTCTGCTGTTTCCTCCCCATGCTGGAGATGTCCCTGGGGCTATAGATAGATTCATCTTTGAATGAATGGCTTTGGAACACACAAGCCAGATAATTTTAGACTTTAATGTTTATTTTCTTTGTGCATTTCTTTTTCTTTCTGCTCCATCTCTTCCCTTTTGTGAGACAACAATCTGCTAGAAAGGAGAACTGGAAGGGAGGACTATAATGCGGGGAACGCAGGCTGGTGGTCACGCATGGAATCTGCCGTTCGCATGGTGAACAGCTACAATACAAATGTGTAAACCATCCCGGGTGGATGGGAGGCGTGTCCCAGGGACCCGTGAGCTGGGCCAGGCCAGGCACGCAGGGAGGGTTCTCCCAGGGAGGGTGTTCCCGGGCAAAGGGACCTGCACTGCCAAGGCCTGTGTGCCCTGAAGAAGCATCAGGACTGGTGTGAGTGGAAGGGACAGAGCTCAGGCTCACGTGAACCCTCGTGGAGAGGAGGCGCTGCAGGCCCACCATCCTGGGAGGCCAGCTGGAGTGGGACCGGGTGCAGCTGCCTTTCTGAGCACACAGCAGCCTGGGGTGCAGACACCTCTGGGGCTCACATCACACCCCCTCAGCCCACCTGGATGTAAGTGATAGCCGCAGTTCTGTGCAAGTCCAAGTTCACTTTTTGATTGGAGTTTCACCTCAAGCCATTTTCTGTTTCCTGTTCCAGGTGGGGTCAGCCCTCAACCAGCAGAAAATAGGAGCTGGTAGATAATATTCCTGCCACTTATTCCTCAGGTGGACAATTCCTTGGAGAAGCTGAGCCTGATGGTTCCCATAATAGCCTTAAAAATGCACCTTCCTGTTGGCGTTTCCTCTTTCTCTGTCTCCCTCAGTCTGCGCCTTTACCCCTGCTGCCTGGGCTCACCTCCCAATTAAACCAACTGCACTGAATCCTTGCCTCAGGCTCTGCGTTGGCAGGAACCTGAATTAAGCATATGTGCTTTGCCAGAGAATAAGACAAACCAGAGAACGGTGGTCTCCAGGGCCCCACGAACTTCTCCTCCATCCTCTCTTCCTCTGTCTCTGCAGGTGTCTGACCGCTGCGACTACGTCTTTGTCAACGGCAAAGAGATAAAGGGCAAGATGGATGCAGTGGTGAACTTCACATACCAGCACCTGAGCGCCCCCCTGCACGTCACCGTGTGGGTGCCGCGGCTGCCCCTGCAGATCGAGGTCTCTGACACGGAGCTCAGCCAGATTAAGGGCTGGAGGGTCCCCATCGTGGCCAGTAAGAGGTGAGCCTGGGTGAGAGAGATGTCCTAGAGCCATGACATCAATAGCGGTATTTACTGACCCTAACACTAAGGGACCCGGCGCGTAGCAGGTGCTGGTATTATCTCGGCTGTTCCATCTCCCTAAATCCTAGCAGCCACTTTCTGAGAAGGCCAAGGCTCCAGGAAGACCCAGCCTGGCCTGAAAGGTACTAAACAGCGGGTCCGTGTCAAACCCAGGTTGTCCGCGCCCTACACCTGGGCTCATACTAGGCTGTCTCTTGCAAGTGTCTCTCCCAAAGTGCCACGACAGAAATAATACAATTTTTTAGCTTCTCAGTCACTGGGGAATTTGAGGTTCAGTTTATTTACTCTAAGCAGAACATCGAAGTTCTCTCCTGTGCTTTATGAATACCTATAAGCTTGAAATGTTCTGTGCAGATCAAGTTATTGGATACAATTTAATGGCATTTATACTGGACCATGGGGTTACTGTTTGCAAAAAGTATCTCATGTATTCTCTGTGACTCTGGCCTGTCTGTCATGGGTAGGAGTTTGGGGTCTTGTTTTCTCAGCTCTGTGGCCCCCAGATTAGTGTGTGTTTAGCTAAGTGAGGGTGTGGCTGAGTTCCCAGCTTCCTGCCTGGAATTCTTTATCCCAAACCATCAGGGCTACTTTCCTGACAGTCTCCTGGTACCAGGGCCTTCCTGTTAAGGGACAAACTAGAGTGTGCCTCAGGGAGATGGCAAATCCATTTCTACAAGGAGAGCTTGAAGGAATTTGGCCTGATTGGAGGAGGACAGTCCAGCCGGGACTTCAGATCATTTAGTAGTTATAAGGGGCCAAGATA